TAGTAAAGTTCCCTGCAATGGGTTGATCAGATCAATTTAGTAGCTTTGATGGTGCAATCGACTTGTTAACTTATTGGGTCGATCCATGTTGATTGTAATATATCTCTTTCCTTGAGCTTGGTTGCGGTTAGCTGCTCCATTCCCAAAACTCGGCTCTTCTCTTTAAGATCAGCTCTCCTTCCTTCATTGAGAATTATCCTTACAATTATACCTTGTAAAGATGTACACATTGACCTTGCCAAGATATCTGAAATGTATCTGTTTACCTGTTCTGATGAATGGTCCTGGACCCGAAACGTTGACTCACTTTCCATTCTCCATAGGTGCTGCCTGACCTGCTGAGTGTTCCCAGCGTCTTTTGCTTTTGTTTTACTGACAACATCTTTGGAGTCAGACAGTCTCAACCCTTCACTGACATCCATCGTTGTTAACATCTTTTTGTCTTTATTAAAATTCCAACAGCTTGTTTCAAACAAGTCTTTGCTTGTCCCCGATGCTGTTGAAGAAAACTTTGTTCTGTAAACATCCTCTCACTTGTTTTCCATTGTCGTTGGCCTTTAAACATTTACGTGTATAAACAGCTTTTGCGAAGTAAACAATTCCATGAGTCTTTGCAGTTTTCTTTGGTCAACTCAAGCAACCCAGAATTCTGGGATTGCTTAGACCAGTTCTTCCAAGCATACAATGCTTACCATGCTTAACATATCTCAGATTACTAAAAAAAACTGTATCCCTAAATAATATTTTCTAAAAGAAATCTATCTAATTTGCATTTGAATGAATCAACATTTTCTGCTTCCACCGTCTCCTTAGGAGTTTGTTCCATAGATTTACTACTTGCTCACTGAAATCGTGTTTCTGCAGATTTGTTTTGAATTTATTCCCCTTCAATTACAGGCAGTATCCTCTGGTTCAACCATTCTGGACAAGATGAAACAGCTTGTCATGGTTTAAATTATCCAATCCCTTTAGAATCTTAAAACAGCAATCATATCACTTCTTGACCTTCTCTTTTCCAGTGTGAACATGCCCAGTTTGGTTAAAAAAAATTGCATAAACACTACTTCAGTAAATAAGTAATGAATTTATGGAACAGGCTCCCTAGGGAGACAATGGATAATTTGGTCACTCAATCCACAATTGTTTGTGGGACATTGCTGTGTGCAATTGGCTGCTGAGTTTCGCCCACAAATATACAGTCAATTCACTTTACAGTATATTCTGTGAAGCGCTTTGAGACGTCTAGAAGATGTGAAAAGTGCTATATCAAATGCAAGGATTATTATTAGGGTGTAATCCCTGCCCCTAGCAATGGTGCTGGCCTCCAAATCTTGACCACAAGCCAGCCTGGCATTTGGAACAATGAACACAGTTTTATCTTGAGTTGTACCTGACAAAATGCCTACTCACCCCTGCCTCTTGTGATTTTAACATCCTTTGGTAAATTTCCTTTTATTGCTGTTTCAAGAACAAATTCGATAGATTTCTGTTAGAAAATAATATCTCAGGATACAGTATATAGTTTGGGAAACGACATGTCAAGTGACTGCAAGGATGGTGGAAGGTGAACTCGATGGATCTTGGTCTTCTTTCGCCTAGCAAATTCTTATGTTCTTAATCGCACCTCATAATCCAGTCCCTCCATCCCTTCAATTATTCTAGTTACCCTCTGCTGTATCCAAATACACAGTCACTTCACTTAAGTGCTTTGAAACATTTTGACTTTATAATGTACTGTAACAAATGCAGGATTATTATTTTTGGTTTGCTGTATTCGAAAATGATTGTGATCCCAATACCGATAAATCCTCAACTAAAAGCGTATTGCATGCAATTTGTTTGATTTTTATATAATCCTCAGTTAAGATTACAGTTATTACACCTCAACCATTAGTGCTTCAATCCTGATCTCACACTGCATCAGGAAAATGCCCTAATGCCTTGGGATGTCCGCACGATGTGAAAGGCACGATACAAATGTAATCTTGTTGTTGTTATGTTAATAATAATAATCATTGCATTTGATGTAGCGCTTTTCACGTCTTCTAGATGTCTCAAAGCACTTCACAAAATATACTTTAAAGTGAATTGACTGTATATTTGTGGGCGAAATGCGGCAGTCAATTGCACAGAGCAATGTCCCACAAACAGTCGTGGATTGAAAATGATCAATTTATTGGTGTTTTGTTTTTTGGAGAGATTATTATTAGACGTGTGTCTCACTACTTGTCCCATGTTGTTAATGTCTGCCCACGATACTCACCAACAAATCAAGTCTTGGAAATGGGACAATATCCCATGAACTGTACCATATATTTCATTAAATAAACCTAAGAGATACTTTAGCTATTTCTGTCGTCTCTATCATCAAACTTTCAGTGTAATTTCTGCCTTACAATCAATGGTTATATTATGCTCCATACAGTCTGCGTATTTATCTATTTGTGTTCCATGTCAACAAAACTGTTTTCCAAACACATTTTCTTGAAGTGAGTTACGATTTGATATAAATTTATAGAGAGGTATAGTAATTAAAAAATAATACAACAGCAAATTACACTTGTATAGCACCCTTCACATTGTAAAGATGTCCCAGGGCTCTGGGACTATAATGCAATACTACACTGCAGGCTTCTCACTACTTGTCCCAGCAACACAAGCCTGGGACTATAATGCAATACTAACCATTGCATTTGATAGATCATCCTTCATGTTAGGAAGCCACCTCAAAGTGGTTCAGGGATATAGGATAGATTGACTGTGTATTTGGTGAGCAAATAAGGCAGCCAATTTGTACACAGTAAGGTCCTATAAACAACTATAATGTGCATGACCAATTTAACTTGAGAGATGGCTGGCCAGGACTTGGAGAAATTCCTTTCTCTTTTCAAATAGTGCATGGGATCTTTAAACATCCACCTGAACTGGCAGACCGGACCTCGGTTTAACATCTCATCCCTCCCAGCACAGTACTGTTGTATCAGCCTAGACTATGTGAGTTTAACTTCGCAACCTGAAGCTTGAACCAAGCCGCAGCCTTCTGATTCAGAGGGGAGAGCGCTACCAGCTGAGCCGGACGGACACATTAATGCTTGATGATGTGGTATCTTAATTCTGCAACTTTGAAAACACTTCACATTGATTTATCCTCCCATCTGCACCAGCCTCAGCAATCAGTTTGGCTTTGACGAGAGATAATGATATTTTCACATTACCATGTTAATATATACAGCGCATTTTAAAAGCCACCTTTTGAATGCTTACCAAGTTGTTTTCGTGAACCACCTTTGGGACTAATTCACAGCCGGTCACTGTGTCAATCATATTATATCATATTATATACATACTTACACATATATAATACATATATATTCACCTTTGAAAACACATTGATCAAAACATAAGCAGAACGTTTAATGCAGGGTTGACATCACTCCAACAGACAGACCCCTTGCAAGATGCAAAGCTTCTGGGGATGGAGGGGAGGGTGTGAGTGGGTGGGGTGGGGTGGGGGGGGGGGGGGGGTGGGGGGGGATGGTGGTTCCTAAAATATAACGCAGTGGATCTGCAATAAAAGAAAAAGTCTGGAAAACTGGCCATGCACTTTTACCAAAATAATGTTATTAATTTGGATTAATTTGGATTGGAAAGTCCTGTTGGCTGAGGAGCCCTAATCCAGAGCACCATCACATCACTGCACAGGGCTGATGTTAGAGGCATGAGACCCCCCCCCAGTAAACAGCAATAATAAGGCAGTGTGTGGGGAGAGCACAGACCCTCTCTCTCTCTCTCTCTCTCACTGCTGATCGCGGGGCTCGATCCTGGCACAGCCCAGAGCTCGCACGTCAATCACAGCCCTCAGCCAATCAGCGCCGTCTGGGGGCCGGGCCTGGGAGCCCGGGGGGAGGGGCCTGCGTGGCAGTGCATTTCAGGCGGCGCCGCCCGCTGCCACATGTCAGTGCAGAGGGGGCTGCCTGGCCTGGCTCACCTGCCACTCACACACACACAAGGGCTGCCTGGCTCACCTGCCACTCACACACACACACAAGGGGCTGCCTGGCCTGGCTCACCTGCCACTCACACACACACAGACACAAGGGGCTGCCTGGCTCACCTGCCACTCACACACACACACACACACAAGGGGCTGCCTGGCCTGGCTCACCTGCCACTCACACACACACACACACACAAGGGGCTGCCTGGCTCACCTGCCACTCACACACACAAGGGGCTGCCTGGCCTGGCTCACCTGCCACTCACTCACACACACACACACACACACAAGGGGGCTGCCTGGCTCACCTGCCACTCTCTCACACAAGGGGCTGCCTGGCCTGGCTCACCTGCCACTCACTCATACACACACACACACAAGGGGGTTGCCTGGCTCACCTGCCACTCATTTACATACACACAAAGGGGCTGCCTGGCTCACCTGCCACTCACACACACATACACAGGGGGCTGCCTGGCCTGGTTCACTTGGCACACACACACATACTGCCTAGTTCACCTGGCACTCTCACCACCACCCTCTCAGGCACAGAGGGTTGCCTGGCACACACACTTGAGAGTGGTGCTGCCTGGTTCACACACAAACACACACACAGGGGGTGTCTGGCACTCAGACACACACAGGGGGCTGTCTGGCTCACCTGGCACATCACAGAGAAGGACTGCCAGGCTCTCTCTCACACACAAACTCACACACACAAACTCACAGAGTGGGACTGCCTGGCTCTCTCTCACACACACAGTGGGACTGCCACACACACAGAGTGGGACTGCCAGGCTCTCTCACACTCAAGTGGGACTGCCTGGCTCTCTCACACACAGAGTGGGACTGCCACACACAGAGTGGGACTGCCTGGCTCTCTCACACACAGAGTGGGACTGCCACACACAGAGTGGGACTGCCTGGCTCTCTCACACACACACACACACAGAGTGGGACTGCCACACACACAGAGTGGGACTGCCACACACACAGAGTGGGACTGCCAGGCTCTCTCTCTCTCACACACACACACACAGGCAGCCCTGGGAGATCAGGTGAAAGCCTCCGCCACCCTCCGCTGTGGTTACAACCAGGTAAGTGCAAAGCACGTTTTGCAATGGGTCCCAAATCCAGAGGGAGCGACTTTTGTTTCCCCCCCTCCTCCTCCCCCCTCCCCCTCCCTCCTCCTCCTCCCTCCTCCCTGTAAGGGGTTTTGTTGGGAAGAGTTTATTTTGCGGGACGATTTATTTCCCGACTCGTAGAAAGCAGAAGCAGTAATAGTAATAGTAGTAGTTGGAGCGAATCCCCCCTAACCTACCCCCCCCCCCAACCTTACCCCCCCTCTCCCCCCTAACCTTACCCCCCCCCCCTAACCTTACCCCCCTCTCCCCCTAACCTTACCCCCCTCTCCCCCTAACCTTACCCCCCCCCCCAACCTTACCCCCCTCTCCCCCTAACCTTACCCCCCCCCCCCTAACCTTACCCCCCCTCTCCCCCCTAACCTTACCCCCCTCTCCCCCTAACCTTACCCCCTCTCCCCCTAACCTTACCCCCTCTCCCCCCTAACCTTACCCCCCTCTCCCCCTAACCTTACCCCCTCTCCCCCTAACCTTACCCCCTCTCCCCCCAACCTTACCCCCTCTCCCCCTAACCTTACCCCCTCTCCCCCTAACCTTACCCCCACCCCTCTCCCCCTGTGTTGTCGCTCTCAGTCTGTGGTGCAACGTACATGGCTGGGAATGACTTTTTCGTTGTTGGTCGCGAATTTTATTTGTTATTATTTTTTTTGCCCCCATGTGTTTTTTTTCGGGAGGTGACGGACACCTTACCCCCCTCTCCCCCAACCTTACCCCCTCTCCCCCTAACCTTACCCCCCTCTCCCCCTAACCTTACCCCCTCTCCCCCAACCTTACCCCCTCTCCCCCCAACCTTACCCCCCTCTCCCCCAACCTTACCCCCTCTCCCCCTAACCTTACCCCCTCTCCCCCTAACCTTACCCCCTCTCCCCCCAACCTTACCCCCTCTCCCCCCAACCTTACCCCCTCTCCCCCTAACCTTACCCCCTCTCCCCCTAACCTTACCCCCCTCTCCCCCTAACCTTACCCCCGTGTTGCGGGGAGGTTGGATGCTGTCGTTTCTTTGTGAGCCCCGGTGAGCCCGGAAAGTGGCTGGTGGTTGGTTGTGTGTAAGGAATAATATATATATATATACAAATAATATCACACACACACACACACATTTTTATATATATATATAGAAAGAGAGAGAGAGAGGGGAGGAGGGAAAGCAACAACAAAAAAACCACTCTTGTTCTCTTTCCAGGTCCCGTTGCCCATCGTTTTTTCTTCCCCGTTGTTTTGTTTTGTGTGGTGTGTCCATGTGTCATTGATGGGAAATCAAATCGATCGGATCACTCATCTGAATTACAGCGAACTGCCCACGGGGGACCCTTCCGGGGTGGAGAAGGAAGAGCTGAGGGTCGGGGTGGCTTACTTTTTCTCGGACGAAGAGGATGACATGGACGAGAGGTCGCAGACCGAGCGCCAGTGGGAAGACCAGAGCCCGAGGAAGGACGAGGCGCTGCTGGTGGTGGGCGACCTGGAGTACTCCGCCTTCTCCGGCCAGGAGTGCATCTTCTCCAAACTCAGGGGCAACGAAGACCTGAACGTGTCCCCGGTCAAAGCCCTGCTGTCCGTCTGCAAAGCCGGGGACCTGGTGGAGCTGGCGGCCGGCGACCAGCCGGGTCACTGGGCTCTCTACGTGGGAGACGGTCAGGTCATCCACTTGCACAAGCAGGAGATCCGCAGGGACCGCCTGTCGGACGTCGGCCACGGCCGTCTGGCCCGGATAGTCAACAGCTGGTACCGGTACCGAGCCCTGCCCGCCGACCTGGTGGTGCAAAACGCCCGCGAGCACGTCGGCCTGAGCCGGCAGGAGATCTGCTGGACCAACTCCGAGAGCTTCGCTGCCTGGTGCAGGTTTGGCAAAAGGGAGTTCAAGGCCGGGGGGGAGGTGCACACCGGGGACCAGCACTACTTCCTCAAGATCCACTTGGCGGAGAACTGCGTGCACACGCTAAAGTTTGGCAGCTTGGAGGAGCTGATCAGGGAAAAGCACAGGAGAGACGCCAGCGGCAAACTGGGAGTGCTCAAGGAACTCTCTGTGTTAAATCACAAGTAGCAGACCCGGGGCACGGCGAGTGCTCACCTGTCCTGGCGTGGATTTTCCGACCACGAGGGCTGCACCTTTCCTTCCTATAATTTTCCTGAGGATGGCAACATTCCAGAAGCCAACTGTGCAGCAGAATGCAAACGATTGGTTTCCTTCCCAGATGTTCCCGCACACAGTATCTTCATGACTGATAACATTGTATGTACCATTGACCTCGACAAGTATGTTTTATAGCTGCCAACGTTAAAGCCATTCAGTCAGTCAGTCAGTCAGTCAGTCACTGTGTGTTACACGTTCAACCTATTCTTTTCAACCTCAATCTTAAGAGTGTCTGAATCGAGAGCACCTCTGCTCTCTGTTAAGGCACTTGTGTCTAACCACCGTCTCGTTTCCCAGTCCCAACATTTTTTTTATTTGAGCAAAATCTCTTTGACTGGTATTAAACCGCCGCACCCATTGGGAACAAAAATCAGTGTGTCTTCAGTGAAAGAAAGAGTGGACCGAATGAAACCCACGATATTTAGTGTCGGAAGCTTCTTATTTCGTTGCTTATGTGTATGGGGAGAGGGGTGTGTGTGTGTGTGTGTGTAGGTGTGTGTGTGAGGGGGGGTCNGGGGCTGTGAGCTGAACCACTGTCATTTTCAACCAGTTATTGCAGTAATGACAGCAGCTTTAAAGAGCAGCGGTTTAAAAAGCAGATCCAACATCACCTTCTCAGGGCAACCAGGACAGACAGTCAACGTTGGTAAAATACCAGACCTGCCGAAGTCCCATGAGGGACATAAAGGTTGCCAACTGGATGTCAGTTTTGCCCCAGTGTCACAAAATAGTTTGCAGTAGCAGAGCATTTTGAGCATCTGCTGTCCAGTCACAGATCGATGTACCTTGGTAATAGGTCTGAGTGTGGTGTGCATCTCCCAGCACTGCGGCTACAGCCAAGCAGTCTTTTCTCATTTGCAGATGTTCTTTGCTGATGTGTGCACTTGTGAATCCTGTCATTTGTTTTGCCACGTTAGTGAGAAGTTAAGAAATATCACGTTTTTTTTTTAGTGATATATTCATTTCTGTTAAAGAAAGGGTGTTTTTCTTTAATGTTGCCAGATGTTTTTGTCGTAATTGCTGTGAGAGCTGAACTGCCCCTTCTTTTCATTGTCCTCCCTCATTTCCACACTGTTCTTGGCTCATGCAAACTCATCGCAAATCTCCATAGTTACTGTCAGTACTCCTCCCTAGTTGACCCGCCAGGAGGGAAGGTTAAGCCATGTAGCATTGCCTCTTTGCCAATTTTTGTTCCCTTTACAGACAAACCTGGCCAGCATCCCAGTAATGGGGTGTACAAATTACAGTTGAAAGATGAAATGGAAATGGTTGTATACTTAATCTGTAACCAGGGGATTTTAACTCAGGACTGTCACCAGATATGTTAATAGGGAGGTCCCAAACAATGTTTTCATACAGTGGGGTGTTGGGAAATGAAATGCTTTGCCACAAGTTGCTGTTGAGGCTGAAACCATAGCCAATTTTTAAAAGGAGTTGGGATAAACATTTTAAAATCAACAATAGAAAAGGGTACGGCAGGAAAACAGGGAGTTGGGATTGGAATAGTTATCACCAGCGGAGGAGCTGGCATCAGCTGAGGCTCAACAGAGACTGGCCTCTTTCTATGCTGTCATTTCTATTATAATGAAACAGACAATGTGTTTTTATTTCTAATTCTTTATTCTCTGTTGATGCTTTTTAATTTCGGCCACAATTTCCTTTTCCCATAAATCAGTAAATCTACAATAATACCAGTATTATTTCCTTATTGTGGTATCACTGTAGACTGTTTAATGAAGTACGCAGTGCTCAGAATCAAATTTGAAAAAGTCCATTCGTAGTTGAAAGGATAGCAAAGACAAACTACAGACAGTGAAGAGCTGCATCCTGTATTATATATCTGTGTCAGCCTGGCTCACTTAGTAGCACTCTCTTCTCTGTGTCAGGAGGTTGTGGGTTTAAGTTCCACTTAATTTTGAGGATATTGAGCTTTGAGCTAAGGGTTTTGAGCTCAAAGTCTAGGTTGATATTCCAAATTGGTGCTGGGGAAACTCTGCATTGTTGGAGGTGCTGGCCTTTGGATGAGACGATAAACCAAGGTCCCATCTGCCTGTTCGGGTGGATGTTAAAGATCCCATGGCACTATTTGAAAAGAGAAGGGGGTTTCTCCTAGGGTCCTGTCCAATAATCCCCAAATAAAATAGGTCATTCATCGTTATGGCTACTTGTGGGACATTGCTATGCACAAATTAGCTGCTGGTATCCCTTTAAAATATACAGTCACTACACTTTAAGGTCAATGCTGTAAAGCACTTTTGAGATATTTGACAACATGATAAGGCACTACGCCAAATGCAAATGCGAGGTATTATCTGCTCATGTATGTCTATAAGAAGTCCATTAGCTGCTGAACGCGTCATTAACTTTAGCTTTTGACATTTTCATTATGAAGATGACCTGACAGTGCTGAAAAATTGATACTTAAAACACTAGCAAGGTGTTAACACTATCATCTTTTACTAGCTTCTTTGACTTTTGTCTTGGTTAGCATGGCTAGACTGTCACCACACACATTGGATTCTCCAGCTGTATTAATTCTATTGCTACAGTGAAACAGGTAGACCCTATATTATCCAGAGTAATAATGAATCACAGGATTAAGCTGCTATATAAAACTCTCCCCAAAAGACAGAAAAAAAGGCTCTATTTAACTAAAAGGTTCATATTCTTTCTAGCACTGTAACTGTGTTTGAGTGATACTATTTGGTGAAATGTTTGTGAAGATAGGATATGGGGAGATGAAATATTGTATATTTCATTTTAAAAACTGATCAGGACCTAGCCTACCATTCTGTTCCCAACTCTCAAAAGACTATGTTAATGAGTTATGATCATGGACATGAAGGATATTTAAGTTTTTTTTTACTGATTTTGACTGCTAAATAAGCTTCTTTGGGGGTGAAAATCAGTCGTAAAAAATCAGTCATAAAAAATCGACCAATTCAATTGTAAAAATGGAATTGGTCGATTTTATTCAATATCCATGTGGGTGCATATCCCAAAACAAATCTCAATGCCCTATCGGTTTTGGGAATGTTTTGTAATGTGATACAAGTCAAGATAAACCAGTTCTGGGAATGTACCTGCATCACATTCAATGCATCATTGAACAAATGTTCTAAAATGCTCATTTGCTCATTTTCACCAAATTTCTTGCTTTGCGTAAACCCTAACCCCCACTCCACCCTGATTTTCTTATACCTTTTGTCAGAAAAAGCAGACTCTGAAAACCCCTGAAAATTACCCAAGATTTTATATTTGTAAGTAAATAATGGTCCTTAAGGATAGTATTTCACCTCTATTTTGTCTTCTGTCAGAATAACTTAATGGGAGCTATTCATAGCTGATAGCAAGTAGACTGCTTAGACCCAGCAATAACCTTTGTTTCCAATTCTGGATCTTTTTAACCAATCTTCAATGCTCATAAATTGGGATAACTTGCTCAGGTTCAGCACATCTGTTCCATTACAACTATGGAAACGCGAGCTTAATAATTGAACCTGGCAGTTTTTTATTAGGCTGGCACAGAGGATTCATTTATAAAGACAATAATGATATTTTAGAGATTTACAATGTCCAGGATACTTTCTAAAACAATCCACCTACAGACATCCACAGACAGAGGCACAGAGTGATATTGTTTATGCTAAATTAATTGCCTCTAAACCTCCCATTCTCTGTTTATTATCCCACTCCAAAGCAATTAATGTCAGGATGTTTTTGGCTGCACAGTACTAATATTCTCAGTCGACTTGGTCACATTTTTGCTGTTGAACAGTTTATTGCTATGTTCAAATGATAGTTTTGGACACTGCCTCCAGTTACTTAGTTGGGTAGAAAATATCAAGTTACAGAATTTCTGAATGCTGGCTCCTTAACTACTGGTCTGAGATAAAGATAACTGATCTTTTGAGATAGAGGCTTTTTTGGGAGTCAGCCGGGTGTCTTGACACATGAGGAATCCCATCACCATGCATAAGAGTATCCAAACCAAACTGAGAATTCAATGCATCCCACCTACACTTGGAAATCCCTGAGATAGATTGTTAGAATGTAATGCACACTCTCTGCCTGGAGGGATGCATCCTGCTTACCTAATTCCAGTAAAGTACTAGGTGCAGGTTGACAAGAGCCAAGGTTTAGGCTTTTAATAAGACCTAAGTTTAAGGAAGATATAAGGTTAATACAAATGAAACTAAACTTTCCCTTGCATCAGGATAAAATGTTATCAGTCTCACTAGAAAACAAGATACTGTATATCCAGACGTTAATTTTCTGTTTTTCACAAACCAATCTTGTCATATTTGTACATAGATTTATAGAGAGAATAAAATTAGAGCATTGGTGGGTTGCTGCCTTAATATTTCAATATGTGTTGCTTTGCACTGATAGCCCAGATTAAATCCCACACATGTTTTTTCTTTGCAAGCCTTATAGTATTTTTATAATATAGGAAAGAAAATTGGAAATCCCATTGTAGAAATCAGCTCCGATTTCTACTGTAGATGAGCTTGGTGCATAAAAACTGTCTGATTTGTTTAGCCAATGAGCCAGTCTACACTCCATACCAGTTGAAACCAGAGGGAAGAGGTTTGATCAGATATTATTGGCAGATTGCGGGACAGAGCAAATAGCTGCTGTCCTGCAGGCTGTTAGCTCTTAAATCAGGTTAACATATCAGGTGATTTAGCTTTGCATAGTCAAATTTTATTTGTATGTTAAGGTACACTGTCTTCAATTTGAGAACATGTCTGCATCCATTCCTGCAAAACTACTGACAACTCCTGGAGTCAAGGATGTTTGTTTCCAGTCAGAATTAAAAAGTGTCAAAGTATAAGTATTGGTGTGCACTACCACTGTCTCTCTGACTCAATAATAAAGATACTTCTGGATACCACGCCATCAACACAAACAAATAACAGTATCCAGCAAAGTGTAGAATGTGGGTTAGTGAATTAGGCTGTCGAGATTGTAGTGAATATATCAGAGTAAGCGCTTTATAAAATACAGGTGGTCACTCCACTGCACAAATTCCAATAGCAAATTCTCCAGTAAGAGTTATTGTAAATAAGTATGAGCCACTGCCAGCATATAGCTGGTTACTTATAAAGAATCAGAATTCCCGTGGAAAAATGTCACCCGAGTCACTGTGCCAGCTTGTTCCATTAATTACATTGATGTATGAGATGAGATTTCAAAGAAACATTTTCTCATTCAGATTTCATCCTGCCGTTTACATTTGATATAAATGGTTAAGGGCAAGAAACAATGAGTACCATGTATCTCCATCTTTGTTTGGATCTTGAGTTGCTTATGAACTCATCATTTTTAATATGTTGTGAAACAATCCAATGTGTCCTGAGAAACAATAGGGGAATTCTCACCTGATGCTAAATTTAACTTGTTGAAGAGGCTAACTCCTAAATGTATGTTAAGGTAGGCTATTGCAATCCATATGCTAGAGTTAAGATTTGATTTTCAATAATGTAAACATTATAGTCCAAGATGGCCAAAGAACTAGGAGAGCCATGTTTAACTCCTCAAAAAGCTGAGTATATGAAAAAAAGCTAACCAATATTAAATATTATATCTGGTTCCAGTTTAGTGCATCAAGTTAATTAGATTCCAAGTTAGGAGATAGGAAAGAGTCTTATATGTGTAAACATAAAGCATGAGAAGCTAATACTTCACTTAGTGTAAATTTCACATCAGCACTGCCTGAAGCTGTAAACCTTGAACAGAAGATTTCCCAGGAATTGCTTATGGAGTCTAAAGGAAATATAATTACATTCCCCAAACCAGTCCAAATGTACTTCGGTTGAATCCTAATAGAACTATAATATTTTCCCATTACATTTTCTGCTTCGATCAGGATTTCTATGTCACCCAGTGAATGGAGTGGTGCATTGGATTTTTGTGTCTGGATCAAAATTATGCTTAGATCAGGTATATGCTTATCTCGGCATTACTGTTCCAAGTACTGAAATGAAGTGGTACTCTTTTTGATCCCCTATATTTTTAGAACATTAATTGGCCGATTAACCCTTTGTGAACTACAGTTGCATTTCTGTTCAACATACTATAAGTTTTTAAAATGTAAACACCCAAGTTTCTGAAAGAAACTCAGTCTCAGCGCCTTGGGACATCATCCTGACTTGAAAGGTGCTATACAAATGTAAATTGTTGATTGTTATTGTTCTTACATTTCGCAGTGCCTTTTTATAGACGTTTCATGTGAGATAGACACACATGCTTTTTAAGCTGCTTTTCAGTCAATTAAGTCACGATTGGGACGATTATTTCGGACTCAGTGCTTGTTAAAGTGGTGCTGCTTATTCATTATATTTTGAATTTGGAGGTACACGTAGACGTAGTGTTTTTTTTAAGATTAAGTTCAAATTGACACTATACAGTCCATGCGTTTTGTCAAAGACATACAGCGTATTAAGTTGTGACTTAATGACTATTAATCTGAAAATGAACAACGCAACTAACTCATGCGCATTATTGGATTGTGATATTGCAAAGCAATATGTAAGATCCACGAAAACTCACTTCTTCAGATTTCTTCATTTTAGAATTAAAATCACCAATAATTATTACACCAATAAGAATTACAATCGCCAGGCTGTTTTCACCTGCTTCTTGATAATTGTGTTTTCATCTCTGGGGTGGAGATCTGAATGTGGGAACCACTAACAAATAACTTTAGATTGAAAAATGAACCAAAATATATTAAAAAGAAACGGTTATAGTCTGCAATGAGCTCTAGTGAAGCACTGGCATTCGATAAATGATAGGTTTAACCAATGACTTTCTACATAGCAGGAATAATGCTGAATTCAGCAATGTTATCACAAGTAAAACGTTTTCAGAATTAACTTGTTGGGTCTTGGTTGTATTCAGCATGGAGCAAATAATAATAAGTCTTTTGAGGAAGGCAAACAAACTATTAATGTTG